TTCCCTGTGAGTATGGCAGAAGATGCTTTTTTATCTCACAGAAACAGCTAAATCATCATATGACAGAGCAGTTGCCATGGCAATTACACATTCTCTGTCAAACAGCAAAATGCAGAAAGGTCTAAAACCCAGGTAAAACTCAGGCAGGGTTTCTACTACCAAGAGGTGACTTGAATTTCTGTCACCCACCACTTCAGAACCCCCTTTTAATTATTTCATGCAGCCCATAGAATAAACACAATGCATGAGAGAAAGATAGCTGACACCGTCAGGCAAGGAGGAGACTGGAGAGTGAAAAAATCAGTAAGAACATAGAATTTACATAGAAATGACATTGACTAATGCATTTAGCTTGTTCTCAATGCAAGAGAAAAAACAAAACTAAAATAAAACCATAAGACCACAAAGAGAAAAAGGCATACTCATTATTATGAGCATTAGTGACAACAATGCCAAAGGTCTGCATGCAAGGCCTCTCCCCAGTCGATAGGAGTTTTTCCCAAGTAGGAACTGAGATACAACCACATGCGCTTTCCAGTCAGACCATCAGCTAAGGAGGGATACGCTGCCTTGGGCAACAGAGGGATCCCCTGGCTGCTGCAGGAGCTCCACATCTGCTGAGTTCATCCTTGTGACTGTTGGTTCGCCACCCCATGCTCACACTCCTCCATGGAGTCCTTGCCCTTGCATTCACATACCATCTCGTCTCTGCAAGCCTGTGCTCTGTGCAAACCTCCAGCTCCTTAGTCCACTCCAACACCACAGAGCTGCGTCCATGAGTGAGCGAGAGCAAAAGCAGGGGGATGTGGCTCTCACGAGCATCAGTGTGACTTGGTAATGAAACTCTCACAACAGCTGTCCTTTATACTGTTTGAGCCTTCCCCTATTAAATCCTTACTATGGCTCCCCATCACTATACAAGAGCTGAGCGATAGATTTCCTCAGTAAATGAAGGGGTGGGTTTGACCATTCTCTGAACTAAGGAGTTCGAAAGCTCTTCATGTGCTATGTTCTTCATGTCTTGCACACAGCAGTCTGCTAGCTGAGCACAATCCTGGAGCAGCATAGGGTTAAACCCCTCCAGCCACCCAGGGAAGCCAGAGGCAGCTGCTAAGCTGGGCCCTGACAATCATCCTCACCTCCAGATCAAGCCACGTTAAACTAGCGCAAGACTATGCCTGAGGATCCAGCCCTGTGAGGAGACAGTGCCGACCCAGGCCTGAACAACCACTGTGGCATGGCAAAATGTCCTGCAAGGAAATGGTAACTCTTCCTTCCTCCACCCTCTGTGACTCTGAAAGTGCCTGCAGCAAATGGTGTGCTGATGTGATGTACAAACTCAGCAAGTGGGAAGGGTGGTACAACGCTCATGCAACCAGCCTAACCTGTGGCTAAGCACTCTGCTCACAGGGTTTGACCCACAGAAAGCATTTCTGAACACTCAGTGCTCCCTGCAAAAAGCCTGATGGTCGAAATGAATTTAAACAGATTGTCTTTCTCCTCTTCCAAGGAGCAAGAGTTCAAGCACTTTGGGTTGTTTATGCTAAGCCTGATTTTGTATCTTCCCAGATTTTTTCTGGGCCTCTTAGCTCCTAAATAATTTGCTGCAGCAACGTCAGCATTTTGGATACTGACCAGCCAAAACTGAGAAGGATGTGTGTTGAGTCAGACAGTGATGCTTAGGGCCAGGCACCAACCGAACAGTTGCCCAGCAACTGGCATGCAGAGACAGCAGGAGGGGGACCACCAGCCAGACCGATCCACCCCGTGCAGGTGAGACCTAACCAAGCACCTAACCTGTTTCATGGAGACAGGTGTGTGGTGGTTTTACTCAGGGGGTGAAGCTTTCTAAAGCCCTTGATGTCTGCCGGCAGGAGCCGCCCTCCGCTACTGGCATCCAGGCCTACTCCTCTACGACTGAAAAAGGAACAATTAAAAAAAAAAAAAATCACTCATTTTCACTGCCAAACCCTGTGCCCAGCATGGGGTCTGGACACAGCCCTTTGACTAGCTCTCCACACACTGGTGAGGTCCCATCCCGTAACCTTCGCTGTGACTGAAAGCCACCTGTGAGCTACAGTTGGTACCACGGTGAAAGAGAGAAGTGCCAGGCAATTAACCCCTCAGTCACATGGGGATCAATCCAAAGGCACAGCTCACCAAAAGATTGGTTCTTTGACAGCAGCCAGATTCACATCTTCCAGAGCCAATGTGAAACATAACATGGGCATAACCTTTCCCCAGAGCTAACTCGTCCCCCAGCTGCCTGCAAGATCCTTATTAAGGACACTACAAAGAGTGAATTTGGTAAAAAAAATATATATAGTAGGACAACCAGTCCAGAAAACTGATAGATTTGTCATCTAAACCCATGGAGACATCTCTCCCTTTAAAGGCTGAATGTTCTTCCTTGTGAATTACACTGAGGAAGAACAGCAGAGAGTGAGCGTGGCACAGCACTTAACAGCAGAAGTGCTAGGTGCCATTTGGTCAGGACTTTCAAAGGAAGCAAGTGAATGGAAAGACTTTTATTTTGCTATCAAGCAGTTCCCTGAAGTGATAGAGGAAAGGCAATTTCCCTTCCAGTTTCACCAAATACAATAGAAAATTCATTCAGATCTAGTTTTGTCATCTCCTGTACCTTGCTTTCTCTTGTCTATGATAGTGTAGTTTCACCGATACTGTTTTGTAGCATATATCCATAGCTGAGGTTGACAACCAACTTCAGCTCTTCCACTTTTGGGGAACGAAAAAAGCTTGGTACAGTGAAGCAGGTTTGATGTCCGAGCTCTGAGATCAAGCTAGAAATCTTCTTACTCCCTGGTAGATTCCCAATGTACCATACAGTCTGTTCCCTTTAGGTGAAGCAATGAGGCTTTCCTCTTCCCCACCCCAGAAATGTAAGAACTGCCCTGTATACTTGAAACTCCAAGGTTATGGCTGTTTTCATATAGTTTCCTCCTCCTCTGGACTGTATACTGGGAGAGTTGACTGGAGTTGTATAATCAGCACCACTCCTTCAGGTGTGACATACTATGACTCCTGGATTTCCATACAGCCAGTGTTTAATAGCACATGACAATATTATCCACAGGTTTGTTGTAACATTCCTGGCAGCTATATTAATGACAGTTACCCACAGATAATTTAAGTGGCTGACTAGAAGAACAGCACAATCTTGGAAAAGAAAGGCCTTATTTGACTAGCAATTATACGCATAACCTACTCATTTAGCTAGTAATAGATTACTTTTTTAGACATGCAAATATGTCACATGTATTTTTAATGACCTAGACACTATTTTTCACTAAATTTATTTTAGAGAGATCATAAAAGATTTTGCCCCTTCCCCCCCCCCCCTTTTTCTTACAAAATTAAGCTCTCATTTTATATCCACAGCAAGATCAAATACCCCACACTCTTAACACTCCATTAGCCTTGTGAACCCTTCCACATATATCAGAGCAGTTACACTGGGCTATGGAATATGCAAACACAATCATTTACAAATAAAATAGCATTAGTTGCAACCACGAATTAATAATGGAAATCCTAGACTCTTTTACCTTCACTGCCACCAAGATCTTGTCCTGCTCGGGACAGAGGTTATAGCATTCTGCCAGAAAGACTTTCCCAAAGGCTCCTTCTCCCAGTTCTCTTTTGAGAACAATATTGTGGCGCTTGATGTGCTGCACAACTGTGAAGAGAAGACAAGATGGAGGTCAGAAGTGAGCAGCAAAGCCAGGATGGAACGGGGCCCGTGCTTACAGCCACACAGAGACAAGGTCGCCTGTAGAGTGGGGCGCATGCCGTGGAAAGAATGAAAGTGCCAGCGTGTCATTCACCAGTGCTGTGTCCAAAAAGACTGAGTTAATATATTTATGTTTGGAGGGTAGGGCATTTGCTGGATAAGAAGACATAGAATTAACAATCAGCTGGGAGAAGGCCAGTTCTCATTGTGTTAGGATGACTGCTGCAGAGCATATGTACCACCCAACGCTGCTTTTTTTAAAAAACATGAAGACAAAGAATCAGAAGACAAACCAAACCTTTCTCACACCACTTCTATTTTTGTATGTCTAACGAGCTGAGCTGTTTCGTCCAGAGCCAAAAAGTTTTAACCTATTCCAAGAAAAAAAAAAGTGCCTTCTTTCAACTAAATCCAACCTACTTTCTGGTTTTCTTACTACTTGTTCAACTGATTTTCCTCTCTGTGCTAAACTACAGTTACAATAAGATAGAAGTTTCCTTCTCGCAAACATGATTTACAGCATTGCTCTGAACTAAAAGAAACAAAAGGTGGGCAAAGTTTTCAGACAGTGTAGTGGACAGTGCCTTAGGTGAACTGCTGCTCAGAATGAATTGGTTCAGACATTAAAGTCCTCAAGCATTTTTGTTCAACTCATTTTACATTTTCCTTTCAGCACAAGCTTCCATTAAAAGATTTCATATTTAAAAGACTGTACCAAATTTTGTAGAATACATTATCAAATTGCAGTGTTCAAGCTAAATAAAGCAGCTGTAAAGGCAGTGTAACTGGCCAACTCAACAGGGTTGCCAGCTTCTGTTGCTGAAATTGTACAAAACAACATCTACTGATGAATTCAACCTCAGTGCATTTGCAAACACCGAAATTTAACCCTGCCCAGACAAAGCCTATTTGGAACTGAAATCCTAAACACAGTTAAGTAAATACCAGTGCACAGACATCAGGCTGGCTTCTGCAAAGGCATGAATGTCACCTCGGCTGCTTAACTGCAGGGACAGGGCTGAATCCTGCCAATAGTTTAGGATATATTCACAAGCAGACCAAAACCTGCCGGCACCCTTGGCCACATGCCTGTTCCAAACTCAGTGACCACTTATGCAGAAACTACCTTGCCTCCATTATTGAAAGATGGAAAACAAGAGTGCCGCTGGTCACAGCAGTGGGCAGAAATGGCACAGCCTGTCCCCACTGCGGTCAGCAGCATTTGGAGAAAAGGCCCATGGGCTACAGGAGAAAAATATGTGTCTCACACCCTGAGCCTATGGCGACGTGACCTGAGCACACAGCACATTAACGCCCTCTGTGCCCGTGTGTGCGTGCGTGCGAGGGGAGCCCGGTGCTACAGCAAGCTGCAGAACGACGTGTGTCCCCAGGCACCCAGTCTGCCAGGCGGGCAGTGCTCCTGAGAAGTGGACCACCCCCAGGCCCAGCTGGCATCTGCCAGAAACCCCCAGGCTGGCACCAGCAGCCCACCATGCCCTGGGAGCAGGGTGGGGAAAGCCAGCTTCTCCCCAAGCCACTCCAGAGCCAGCTCCTCTCCCTGCAGCTGGTGGCTGCCGATGGGCAATGCCCACCCTCATCTCCAACACCAGGACTCCACACCTTTTCCCCAGGGATGCGGGTTATTTGGCGCCCCTAGCCCCTGCGAGTACGGGTCACATGTAACAGGCGGAGAGGACCACTGCCCCAGCAGGTAGCCTGAGCGTAAAGGAGCATGGCACATACCGTGTCCTCTGCTTTAAAAAATGCTTCCTAACAAATGAATACTGCCCCCTTCCCCCTGCCACACCTGCTGTTCAACCCTGCCTATTGGGGAATTCTTCCATTTCAGCAGCAGACCTCCAAGCAGCAGCAGTTTTTCACTTGTTTCCCTCCACAGCTGCCAAAGACCTGGTGATGAACACACTCGACTTCCCGAGTTTTGTGTGGGTCCTCTCCATTTTGAACCCAGCACACCCCCAGTGTTGGCCCTAGTGGAACAAAGGGTTTTTGTGAAGTTCCTGGAGGACTTCAAAAACAACGGAGTAAAAATAAATAAGAAACATCGACTGCTTCTCTGTAATACACTTACGTAAATCAAGCATTTGAATAAACAACCATCCCATAAACCCGACTGTTAAAACTGAAATGCAGCAAGCTGCAGAAGATATCTGTGCAGCATATATTTGCAACTTGTCATGCTCTATCCATCCCTGTTACCTTCTTGAGCTGCACGGAGCTACTAAACGAATAAAAAATGACAGTAAATGTGGCTAAATGGGCAGAGATTAAATATAAGAACAATCTATGCAAATCAAACACATACGATGTGACGGAAATGTGACCTAAGGAAAAAATCCTTTTACACACTCAGGGCCTCAGCTGTAGTGATGCCATCTTCAGTGGGAGTGAGATACACTGAACAATTCAGGTCAAAATCTGCTTTCAGTTAATATCAGGATAAAGCAAATTATCTCTGTTGAAGTCCAAGAGATTATTCTGGATTTACATTGAAGAAATGAACCAGAATTTGTCCGAAGAGGTGGTATAACTGAATCACTGAAGCAGTGCTCTCATAACATTGTCTTACAGGCAAAGATACACAAGCATTCAAAGACCAGCTATGTATTTTCCTCCTTTTGACTCTAAATGGTGATTGCCTTGGAGTTGCCATTTGTACTTCCAAAAGCACATCACCTCTGGTTTAAAAGATCTTGTCTGATTACTGTAAAAAATACATTACCTTAATCTAAATGCTAAGTTGAGTTGAAACACTTAAGAGAAAAATGAAGCAAAATATTACATGAGACTGAGCAAACTAAACAAGGGTAAATGCTAAAAAGAGGCTGTCGTGCTAAATATAACCACACAGCCGAGCCCATAGAAGCAGCGTGCTCCCACAGATGGCTGCAGGGAATCGGCTAGCAACACGGAGCACAACCGCAGAAAAGGGCTCTCTTCTCATCTCAAGGTCTCAGAGATAACCCCCCAACACAGCTGGACTTCTAGGTATTTCTCTCACTAACGAAGAGCATGCCGCACCGGAAATGATGTATCAAAGCCCTATCCTGCAAACAGCTATCTGCAGGCATGGGATTGCACTCCCCAGGTAACCTACCTTTGAGAGTGAAGCTGAACAGAGAGGGTCACAGCACGTTCTGGAGCGGGTCCCAGTGAAATGGGCAACTCGGGATCACCTCACCACATTGAATTCACTGAGCTGGATGTGACTGACTGCAGTCACAGTCAGCAGGATACCCAGCACTATAAATTATTAAAACATTTCTGCACGAAATTAAAGTGAAATGCTGTGATAGACTGAAAGTGTTTTCCCCTTGATCACAAACAATAGGTATGAACAATTTACCACTGCACGTGACCATTACACCACCTGAGCTGACCTTCTACACAGCACGGAGCACAGTATTGAGTTAAATGACTTGTGCTTGGCAGGAGACTGCCTCCTGAAAGCAGCTGTGCCAGTCTTGATTTGAAAGTGTGAGCTATTCACTTGCTCTAATATGTAATAATTTTCACTGCTAATAAAAATGCATGCCTTTTTCTTTGTCTCTTAATTTTTATCTTATCTGGCTTGCATCTGCCTCCCTTGGGTTTTTGAAGGCTTTCTCTGCTAGCTTGAGCAGCCTTTTAAGGCCTGGTATTAAATACACATAATCAACGCTCTTCTTGCTCTTCTTGGTAAGGCAAAGAGATGGAAGCCCCTCCCAGGAAAATATTTTCTTCAGTTTACCAGACATTTTCATGGCTCTTCTCCGGAAAAATTTTCAACAACCTTTTAAAGGAAGTTGTTTCCATTTGGTTTTCCCAACTAGAAGCCACATTCTTGTATCACTCTCCACAAGGTTGTGATAAAAACATAAAATCAGCTCCTTATATCTTCACATCCAGAGATCATACTACTCCTTTTAAAGCTGGGTTTCCTTCACAGCATGAAAATGACATAGCTGCGTGGTACACCTAAGTGTCCCATCTTGAACACCTCACACAATTACGATTTCACAAGTGCTCTAAGTTTCAGATGTGTGCCCATGTGCCTTGTGATAATAGCAGAGCAGAGGAGAGATATGTCCTTATGGAGAGGCTGCAACATGTAATTCACTGAGTGACAGTAAGAACCACAACAGACAGGGTCCATCATCACTGCTCACTGAACTACCAACACCAGAAGATTGTGTCGCATTCCCACTTAAATGATGGCCTGAGACTGCTTTTTCGAACACTTTTCAAAATTTTGCTAGTGGAACACATGTGGGACACTCCTGATGAACCGTGTTGTGCCAGGACTCTGAGCATGAGGATCTTCAAGATGCCAAGTAATCAGGTGAGGTAATATTATAAACATATTTACAGTTGCATAAGGAGAAAACAGCAGCAGAAAGGACTCAGCTTGTGATGTGACAGGAGGTGCCACAGAAAGGTATTTTGCAAGATTCTTCAGTTCTTCTCCCACCATTTCTCTTGCAATTGAGAAGACTCAAGTATTTCTAAGATTTTACCAGAAAAAACACATGTAAATGGCTGAATGACTGTCTAGGTATCATACCAAATGTGTACAGCATTTGTCATTCACATAAAAGGAGGGGTGGAATTTCAGAGAGAATCCCGTAGTGGGAAGATACAAAATCACTACGAACAGCAGACAGCAAGTCTAGCCTGATGGCCATCAGTTTCTGCAGTAGCAGCATTTCTACAGTTCTCCATACTACTGCCAGAGTTGAAATTTTGGCACACTGAAATATCTATCACTAACAGCAATAAAAGCCAACAACAACCACTTTTTTTCACCCCGTTTCCAACCTTTTAACCTGTCAGCATTGCCTGGATGCAGAAACAGGTCAGCTCAGATCTGAGTGTATAATTCTGATTATTTGATGTATCTATCCCATATGACATTTATTACTTATTATTCTCAACATATTTTTGTGAGG